AACACTTGAGAATCATAATTATTCCACATCAAAGATCATCAATCCATTTCTTCATATTCAATAACTTTGTGTTCTTCAAGTTTTGGAGAATTTCACTTTGTGCTTTGGTGAAATTCTTTATAAGACTTGTTACAATCCTTCAACCATTTGTCGGAATGCCCTTAAACATCTCTTAAATCACCAGAGAGGGGGCAATAACGTTTGAGGACATGGATCCCGTGTTCAAGCCTTCAAAGTTAATCTTAATAATTTCTTAATTTCTTCATCTTGTTACTGCAATTTCTTGTGATCTTCTTTTGTCTCTTCTCCATTACTCCAACATTTCCAACAGTTTACAGTGTTAAACTCGTGCTCAAGTCATAGGAAGGTCAGTTAAAAAAACCTCAATCCAGAATACACAAACGCCTATTTTAACAAAAATTATAAATACGATTTTTAAAATCAACTTGACACAAATCTCACTTATGCAAGAGGTGTAGAAGTGAATCGGGATGGCCAATTCCTAGTTATGCTCAGCTTAAATTAAGCTCATGAATCATGCTTCACTTTTTAATTTAGAAAATTTGTTTTGTCCATTAGATTGTTCGGTGTAACACAGGCTGTACCGAGCTTGATCATTTTGACTACGGGTTGTGTTCAGCTTCCGTCTAATGGTTCGTAAAGTTTAATTTACACCTCTAAACATGTGAGATAATGTGTGACGCATTCAAAAACATTCGTGAATTTGTAAATTACCTTTAATAAGGAAAGCGTGCTGACTGAATTTTAGATATGATAATCCTAATCACAGTGAAAAGGTGTCTTCGTCGATTTGCTTATGAAAGTGGTGATCTGAAAAAGAATATACACAATCAATTGACAATAATAAACTTTAATTTATTGAAAAATGCCATTTGTATAGAAAAATACCACCACCCCCTTTGACAGATCTCAGTTGATAGATTTTGATTGGTGGAAAAAACTGTCAAAAACTGTTTTATTTTTAAAAGAACCAACAGTTTTATGCCATGTGTTTTTCTGTCAAGTAACGTGTAAAAATTTTCTGTGCAAGTAACGTGATTGTAATTTATTATGGTGTATAATGAAGCTATGGTTGCATATTTATAGTTGATGATACTCTTAGATAATATGGTCCTGGACTGACACTTCGTTAAGGATAATATTCGAACCTGACGGAAGGTCCATTTCATGGGGTTCAAACTAGAATTGCCTTGTTGCTTATCCTAAATCGGTTTATTTTGTCTAGTCAGTTATCAGCAATAATATTTTATTTTCATCATCTCCTAAATAGTTATAAATATATGAATTACGAAAAAGATTAAGATTTTGAAAGTAAGTTGTATTTTTATTGTATGAAAATCTGCTTTCTGTACGACGAACTTTGATAAAGACATTTTTTGTGTTTAGGAGTTACTCTAAATACGTCGTGACATAGAGAAGTTTGCAAACTAAGAACACGTCACACGTGAAAGGTTGGTTAGCCCGCGGTGTGTAAATTTTAAGTGGACAGCTGTAATTCCTTAATGCTGTGAAAAAAGAAGTAAAGTTTATGATTTACTGTTGACTAAGTTGTTTAAATCTGTTGGTTTTGGTTTATTGCAAGAGCGCATTTTTTAAACCGTGTTTTGTCTTAAAGAATGGATGCTCAAGATGATGCCGTGTGTCAACCCCATTATAGTTAGATGGCTGACGTCTGATGACTCTTATTAATACTATTATAGGGTTTGAGATGCGTGATTCTTTTAGACTCTTCTTTCTCTCTAACCGTTCGTGTTCTTCGTCTCCTTTTCTCTGAAAATCAAAACTATTTTTTGATTTTATGTTCCTTTTTCAAATATGTTGTAATCTTGAGTGAATTTCTACTTGAGTTGAGTAGTGTGTTATTGTGCAAATATTTGATTGTTGAGTTAAGGTTGAGTTTTCTGTGATCTCGTGTAGTTACGATCTGAGTGCCAAAAATTTAAAGTTTTACGCCTTGGTTTTGTTCCATTTAGACGGTGGTCCTTCCGGTGACGGTAGCGCTTGTGTTTTTGGGTGTTATTGTCTTAGGGCAAAAGTTTAATGAAGTTTCCTTTTACAGTTTTTGTTCGTTTTCTGTTTCTAGCATATTTTTTGTTGATTAAATTGTTCTAATCTGTGAACCTCCTCTTAACATTTACATAAAAAATACCCTTTTATAGTTTGACCATCCTATATTTTTGTTTAAAAAATAATGTAGGAATATAATCTTAGAAGGCAAAATATAAAAAGTTGGCATTGTAAAATCACAAAGATTAATTGGACATATATAGTAGGGTTTGCTCATCCTTCTATAGCGTTTTTATAGAAAAAATTGCAATCATAGGAGTAACAAAACACGAAGTGGAACATTCATATGGCATTAACATTGCAATAAACAATAAACTATTATAAGTCTTTTAGATAAAATTTATAAATTGATTTATAAAATCAGTAAAAGTCAAACATTTATTTCAACTATAAATTCACAACAAATACATATTATTATCCACTTAATTTGTGGGACTCGTGGTTGTTTCTCTTACTATTTTTCTTTATGAACCATCTTTAAAGTTTTCAAAGGGAAAGTGAATTATGCTAATAGGTACAAGTTTCCACCGACGTCTTTTATACTCGTGATTCTATATTATTTATTAAAAGATCCAATCGAATGGCATATTTTACTAAACATTAAATCATTCACTACAACAAAAATGACCTTTTGCAACATGAAAAAGGCAACATTCATTACTTGAATGTTGCTAAAGGAGTCTACAGCAACATTCGCATAAGTGAATGTTGCCATTAGTGAATAAAATAGAATTTTGGCAACGTTTCTTAATGCATGTTGCTAATGCCACTTTTCGCAATGTTCAGTGAACGTTGCGAAATGTTTTGCCAAAACTCACTTTTTGCAACGTTCCTTAAATGCAGCGAAAAGTTTCACTTTTTGCAACGTACGTAAAAACGTTGCCAAAAGTGACTTTTCGCAACGTGCATAAGAACGTTGCTAAAA